TATATAATACTAAAATGGAAAAGGGTTAATACCTATAAATAAAATTTATTATTGTAATATAAGGAATGAAATAGATTGCCACCCTTAGGAGTGTAGAATTTTTTTTTTCTTAAATATTTACCTGCAAATTTATGTATTTTTATAAGTCAAAACATGCACATTTTAAACAGCCTTATTTCCAAATCGCAGATTTATCCATAAAAACCACTAATATCCTCAGGTAGTGCACATTTAGTTATAACATAAACTCAAATAAAATCGCGTAGCAATTGAAGAACCAAAAAGTTACACCAGTTCATATCTAATCATGGATGCAGCTAATGTTCCTAAACATAATGATTATTCAGTAAAATACCAACACAATGTTATTGTCTAATGTAACAGCTAAATGGATGTGCCAATGTATAAATAAAAATATAATTTTCTTAGCCTCCTTCTTTCCTTTATCAATACCTATATATACACAAGATGAAAACATACAATTCTAGTACACCAAATGGTTGATTTACATCAAATTTAAAACATAAATGAGCTACATGAATTTTTGGGTGAGTATAAAATTTGTTATGAATTGCTGTGTAATTTTATTTTACAATTGTTCATTTATACTTTGCCCATCATGAAATAGTTAATCATCAGACATCAATGTTGCTCTTCTTTAAATGTTGCTATTCTGAAAAATAATGCTCTAAATAATCATTAAAAATAAGCATTTTCCCCAATTTGAATGGCAGCCATCTTGTATTTTGAGGTCATTTAGGTCTAATTTCATGGAAATTTATATTAGGGTGAAAATCAAAGAATATCTACTAGCAAGCAATGCTGTACAATTCTAGTACACCATAAAATTGATTTAGAGAATGTTTTGTACATGTTTGCCATATAATTGAGTTTTACAAAATTTGAAATTTTCAAAATATTTGAAAGAATACAAATGTTTTGTTTATGAATTGCTACGTAATTTTATTTCTACAATTGTTCATCTATACTTTGCCCATCATGAAATTGATATTCATCAGACATATTAATGCTGCTTTTTTGAAAAATAATGCTCTAAAATATTATGAAAAAGAACCTTTTTCACCAATTTGAATGGCGGCCATCTTGGATTTTGAGGTCATTAAGGTCAAATTTCATGGAACTTTATATTCGGTGTTGCAAAGATAAGGCATATCTACTTTCTCGCAGAGCTGTACTATTCTAATACACTAAATGGTTGATTTACATCATATTTAATACATATTTGCCCCACAATTGAATTTTATGAAATTTGAAATTTTGAGAATATTTGGCAGAGTATAAATTTTTTGTTTATCAATTGCTACGTGATTTTATTTTTTTATATATGACTTCATACCTTGCTCATTATGAACAAAACAATCGAGGAGTATATCACTGCTGCGATTTTGAAATAAATGCATTTAAAAAATCTCACTTTTAGGTAATTTTGAAAATACAGATAGGATGCAAAATTTCAGTTGCCATAGCAACGCTATATAAAAATGTAGAACAAATATATTTGTATATTTGGATAGAGCAATATGTCCTTCTTTGACAATGCCATATAAAAGTCAGTATTATATATTCATTTTTTATTTATTATCATGGTTATTAGGCCTATTTGAGCTGATATTTTCCTCTACCAAAGACCGGTTTCTAGGGAAAAGCAGTTTGTTGCTATGGAAACCAGAGGAAATGGTTGAAACATGGCTAGTGGTCATTTTTGTGTGTTTTATGACTAAATACATCATTTAAGACCAAACTAAGCAAAATATAAATTTTTCACATTCCATCCGAAGCTCAATGCTTGCTGACATGGCCTCTTAAAAGTTAAAAAAGCAAGACTATAAACCTTATTTTTATTTATCAGTCAGCAAAATAGTAAAAATCTGATGAAAAATGATTTGGAAAAAAATATTTCATATTAATTGTCAAGTCTGTATTTTTGCCGCTGTTCAATTCATTGGTTAATATATTATATAATATAACCTGCACTTTCATGAATTCCTTTTTCACAATCTTTTAAGATTTGCTCAGAAAGGTTGATACTATTTGATTCCAGCATAGAAGTAAAAAGAACGAGGTGTAATACAACCAATAAGTGATGAAATCGTTGTTCTGGTGCCTCCTCGATTTGAGACTTATGGTGTGGGCGTGTGACCCGTTTCAAGAATGTAAGTAGCAGGGTTGATTCGGCAAGTCAAAATTCTAATTTTAAGAGGGGGTTTTGGTGTATTTCGAATGATTAAAAGGAAAACAACTGTTCGTATGAGATTCACATTTCACATTATATTTGTTGTACACAACTCACAGAAATATAATAAATGCCATTTTGTCACCAATTTCACAATTGTTGCAATTATTCTGGAATCTTTGCTTGCCATCAGACCACGTGTAGATGGCTATACCACTGCAAAAAGATCCTGAGAGATTAGTACAAAAAAAGAACTTCATAGAAAAAAACATTCACCTACTTTGTACATCGGGATGGATTGATTAACGATTGGCAAGTATGGGCAAATCGTCGACACCCTAAAACTCCGTTTTTGTCCAAAACAAACAGCTGGTATCCTTTTAAGTACTATCATGTAAGGAAGTCATATGTTGACCCTGGTTAAATTGTTTTAACGATAGTGTAAAGAATTTTGGCGTGGGCAGATGTTAAGTTACATGTTTTTTAAAAATTGTTTTGACGATCAAGCGTACTGGTATTTTAACAGTGTGTCTACATAAAATGTTAGGTAACAATTGCAAAGTACATTAACTAGGGGGAAGTGAAATGAATAATTTAATACATATTAGCTATGCAAACTGAAAGAGAAGAATTGTCTAACCTGTTATGGGTTAAATATGCACTATTTCTGTTAAGCCATATGCTACACCAACCCTTGCCTTCATGACGGGACATGTGTTTATCAGGGAAATGGACGTTTTCAATGTCTCTGTCCCAATGGATATTCCGGACTCAGATGCCAGATAGGTAAGCTTCGCCCGTTAAATACTGAATAGTTGGCTATTAATGTAATATCTTCACCACTGACTTTATTCCTGAACCATGTGCTACTGTCCTACATGCTCACTAGAGGGCGCATGCCATGACAAGCCCAATCTAATATACTACATTCCTTCCCCCTTGGTAAGTGACACTTTTATAGATTCCCAAATGAACTGATATAATGTTAAACACTAAAAAAATAGAACGCCGTTAAGAAATTCCACAACACCAGTAGTAAAATAACTGAAAAGAAAAAATGAACATAAACAGTTATGAACAAGTCTTTGCAACAGTCTTCTTTTTTAAGACAGTGTAATTAATAGTCACAGTGTGTATGAGTTCTTTTCTGCTTTGAATATTTACACATCAACAATAACTTTTGGTTTTCTATTTCTCACTGGGTACCTGCTTTCAAAATTGCTAATTTTTACAGATTCGTCACCTGTAGTGACTTGGGTTTTCCCAGGAGATGCTGAAATTTCCACATTAATATTTTTCTCTACATTTTTGTCACCAGTGTCAGTGACCGGACTGGTAGGCACTGGTGTGTCTGACACATGTCTGGTTGTCATACCAAAATTCTCATTAATTACAGGCATCTCCACCATTGGAGATGAAAATACCTTTGAAAAACAATACTGGTCAAACGCAGGTATTATTTGGTCAACATGCACATGCTTGAGTCCTTTCTCAGTTTGTACTAAGTATCTCCTTGGGCCCAAAACTTTAATCACCGATCCAGTCAACCATTTATCCAACTTGCTGCCCGTCATGTCCCTGACACGTACACGGTCGTGACACTGAAAACAACGTTCTGGTGCTTTGTCATGATGTCGTTTCTGTTGCATTTGTTTCTCCTCCACAACATCAGCCAAATCGGGTTTAAGTAGGCTGAAACGTGTGCGAATCTGTCGCTTAAGAAAAAGTTCTGCAGGAGTTTTTCCTGTGGTAGTGTGAGGAGTAGATCTATAACGCATCAAATAATTTGCTAATCTACGCTTTAATGACATATTTTTGTACTTCACATCATGCAAGTGTTTTTCCAATGCTCGTTTCACATTTTTCACTGAATTTTCAGCAGCCCCATTCGACTGGGGAAGGTAAGGTGGAACCAAGGTTTGTTTGATGCCATTTGTTTTCAGAAACTTCCTGAATTTATCTGAAATGAACTGAGGTCCACTATCAGATACAACTTCCTCAGGTAGTCCATATGTTATTTTATGCACAGACTGACATGCGCTGCATTCTCTCACCTTACATTCAATATCACTGTTTAAATTTGGCCACCAAACATAACTCCTTGCTATTGCTTTCATAGCGCACACTCCAGGGTGCTCCTAGTGCAAATCCTCTAGTAGTGTTTGACGGTAGATCTCTGGTATCACAACACGGTTTCCCCACAAGATACACCCTTGCTCTGCTGAAAGTTCATGTCTCCTGACATAATATGGTTTGAGTATCTCTGAATCTAGATACTGTGGCCAACCACTCATCGTAAAATCCATGACTTTGCTTAATACAGAATCTTTCCGAGTGGCCTCTGCTATGTCACTAGCAGTAAGTGGTAACTCTGTAGCTACTTCACATACATATATTGTGCAATCACTGGCAATTGATGACACCTCATGTGGTAAACGTGATAAACAATCTGCATTGCTGTGTAGTTCTGACTTGCGATACTGGATGTCATAGTCATATGCTGACAGAATAATAGCCCACCGTTGCATTCTTGCTGCTGCGAGTGTAGGCACTCCTGTCTTTGGGCCCAGTATGGTAATAAGTGGTTTGTGATCAGTCACTTTCTTCCATACAGATACTGATGAAATTTTGTAACACCGAATATTATGCTCAGTGCTTCCTTTTCAATCTGAGCATAGTTACGTTCACTTTTGCTCAGAGTTCTTGATGCAAATGCTATTGGTTTTTCTGAACCATCATCCATGATGTGACTTATGACTGCACCCACTCCATATGCCGAGGCATCACAGTCGAGTTTTATTTTACGTTAAGAATCATAGTGTGTAAGCACTCTGGCACTGCTTAACTCACATTTGCATGCATCAAATGCCTTTTGACATTCCTCAGTCCATTTCCAATTGACATTCTTCTGCCTCAGTCTGTTTAATGGTGCAAGTGTGGTAGACATGTCTTTGAAGAATGCACCATAGTAGTTTACAAGTCCAATAAATGACTCGAGCTCCTGTACATTCTTGGGCACGGGTGCAACTCGAATAGCCTTGACTTTCTCCTCTGTAGGATGAAGTCCAGCTTTGTCCACCTTATGTCCCAGATATTCAACTTTAGGCTCCAGAAAGCGACACTTTACTCTCTTAGCCTTTACTCCATATTCATTCAATCGCTGTAACACTTTTTCAACCTTTTTGATATCTTCTTCATGTTTACCATCTTCCTCTATGCCCTTGATCAAAACATCATCTTGTGAACAAATAACGCCATCAAAATCTTTCAACATTTGATCCATTACACACTGAAAGATCATAGGTGCACTTTTGACTCCATAAGCTAAGCGCTTGAACTTATACAACCCCTTGTGTGTGTTCACAACAAGATACTTTTGACTTTCTTCATCGAGCTCCAATTGGGCATAGGCGCTAGATAGATCGATCTTTGTGAAAACAGTTCCCCCTGCCAAAGTTGAGAACAGATCCTTGGCCGTGGGAAGTGGATACTGTTCTTGCGATACAGCCTGATTTACAGTTACTTTATAGTCACCACAAATTCTCACTGACCCATCGCTTTTGGGTACAACCACTATGGGAGCTGCCCACTCACTGTGATCTACTTTTTCTATAATGCCACTTTGCTCTAGTCTATTCAACTCTGCTTCTATTGCTGGTTTTAATGCGTAAGGCACAGGCCTGGCCTTACAGAACACAGGTGATGCATCTTCTTTGACTCTGATATGAACTTTGAACTCCCTAATTTTCCCATATCCCTCTGAGAATAAATTTTCATATTTGTTCATAAGCTCCTCTTCCACATTTGGCCCCAGAGGCTGTGATATGGCGAATATCTCCTTCCAATTTAATTTCAATTTCTGTAGCCATCCATATCCAATAGAGGCGGCTTACCACTGCCCTTTGCTACTATAAGTGGCAGTTGGAGATTTTGCCCTTCGTGAACAACATTCACGGTGATTTTCCCTATCAGCGGGATAGTCTCCCCATTGTAGGCTCTTAGTCTTACATCTGCTGAACCAAGTTTCTTATGACTGAAATGTTTCTTGTACGTGTCCTCAGTTATCACTGAAACCTCAGCTGCGGTATCGATTTGCATTTGTATTATTTGTCCATCGACGGCTATGGGAACGAAGACCCCTTTCCTATTGCTATTGTTCTTTAATGTATAAATGTGTAAAATGTAAGAGTGGTTTTCTGAGGTATCTTCGATGACCTCATTTACTGTTTCCCTCTTTCCCAACACACCTTAGCAATGTGTCCTTGCTCTCTTTTGAATTGCTAGTAGTTACTTTATGCACATTGGCAGGCTCTGCTGTTGGCGGTCTGAATTGCTGAGAATGGCAGTGTGCCAATTCCATGGTCATGGCAACGTCAAATGCCATTTCAAGTGTAAGATCCTTGGTTGCTAATAATTTCTTTTGTGTCCCTTCATGAAGCAGACCACAAACAAATCTGTCACGCAACGCCTGATTCAAAAAGTCTCCATACTCACAATGTGTTGACAATCGTCTCAGTTCTGACAGATATTCACTAACCTTTTCACCTTCAAGTTGGTTTCTTTTCATGAACTTGAATCGCTCAGCAATTACCAAAGGCTTTGGAGCGTAATAATTCTGTAAATGGCCCTTCAGCTGGTCATAACTCAGCGTGCTGGGTAACTCCGGCGAAGTTAAACTTTTTAGCTTTGCATACGCTGTACTGCCAATAACTGTTAGTAACACTGCAGCTTTCTTGTCGTTTTCTATGTCATTGACTAAAAAATATTGCTCTAACCTCTCTATGTAGCACTCAACATTTTCCTTACTATCCTCGCCATCCTCGTCGTCAGAATGTAATATCTTCACCACTGACTTTATTACTGAACCATGTGCTACTGCCCTACATGCTCACTAGAGGGCGCATGCCATGACAAGCCCAATCTAATATACTACAATTAATTAAAGAATATTGATAACAACAAATAGTTCTAGGTCGTAATGTGGGAAGATGGAAAAATACAACTGGCAAAATTGACAATTAGCATTTATCTATTAGAACCGCTACTACCATAACGCAAACGGGGATCAGACTTCCCCTTTAATACAGATGTTGCATGCATGTGTAACATACTTCAAATGATAACTGTTATCATGTAAATAGAGCAAGCCATATGATGATACTGCTTAAGTTTATTAAAAGCTTAAAAGGCATGCGTAGATGCCCTGTTACATTTTGTCATTTTTTCATTACCTTGTTTACAGCGCAGTGTGGGGAAAATGCCTCATGCGTCTCCAGAGGCTGGCCAAGTCTACCTCGATATAATGAGCCATGCAATTGGGATAATGGCCGCCAATGTGAATGTAACTATGGATACTTTGGGGACGGAATACATTGTACCAAAGGTGAGTCTTATTGATTTATTCAGAGGATTGAAAGGGTCAGTAACTTGTGATTGTGAATAAGAGAACCTCAGACAAATTTGCCATTCATACAGGTGAAGTTAAACTTAACTTGTTCGGGCCACTTTTGTAAATGTTATGCTGTTTTATATATATATATATATATATATATATATATATATATATATATATATATATATATATATAATTTTTTTTTTTTTTTTTTGCCATTTATGGAATTGATCTCCTGTGGACCTGAAGCCATGTTTTTAAAATATAATAACACAAGGCAAAAATGCTGCCAAATGCACGGACTTGAAACAGAAATAATACAAAGATAAAGTTGATTTGGCAGTTCTTTATATTTTATTGAAGTAAATAAATTAAATAGATAAACATGTACATTGTGTGAAAATACAGATAGAACAAAAAGTAATGTAGAGAAACTCTTATTTACACATACTAACATGCACACTTATTCATATATGCTTGTTTGCTCCCCTATACGCCAAGTGTACAAAAAAAGTAATAATCCCAGTAATAATAACAGTAATAATAAAAATAGTAATAAAATTCATACGTACAGAAAAGATTTTTATAGTAATAATACTAATACTTACATGTATAATAATAGTAATGATTATGGTCATAACCTAATGAAAAAAGGTAGTTGAGAATACGAAAAACAACGTTTGAAAATCAAAAGCTATTTTTATAAAACATTGGCAACCACTGTACCCACTGGTCATCAAAATAACATTTTTGGATACATAACTAACCACCTGTAAAAAAGTAAAAAATACCTAATCGCTAGACTAAGAGTATACTCACATTTTACATCATTTTCAAACCAAGCATAGGAGTAATATAATTCTTAAATTAGCATGAGCATGTATACACAGGTGACAATGTGCTGCCAACTATAAGGCTTCACACTGGACTATATGAATCGTATGTTTCTTGAGTTAAATTAAAATGAGAGATAAGAGTCACATATATTCATAAGCTGTGTGTTTACTAGTTTATATGTGTTAAATATTTAATATTTTATCAATGTTTTGCCATGTAAGCCGTAAAAAAGAATGTTGCCTTTTCGGGTACAAATAGATGGAACATTTGCATACATTTCTGTAGTATTGGGTGTATTGTTTTAAACCAACCCAAGTAAGGATTTTGGACCTAGACCTACGTGTGCTTATATTTTTCTTTCTAATAAGCATAAGTAGCTATAATCCTTCTATATTATATTTTTAATGAGGCCAAATACAAACACCTCTTCCCTCTCAATATTGATATTCATTTTTTTCTTTCACGAGTTTAATTAAGCATGTCCAGGCCAGATGTTTTACATTCCCAAAATACATGGACTATTGTTTCTTTGGCAATGCCACAAAACTCGCATTGTTGCGATTGCTTTTTATCTATTTTTTAAGGCATGCGTTTATGCTAAAGATCCTGTGATTTATTCTAAATTTTGATATTTGTAATTTGTTGTCATCTGTTTCGGTGAAGACAGGTTTTTATATTTTAATATATTAATATAAGTTATTAATAAAACTTAAAAGTGCCAATTTTCTTCCATTATTTCTTCGATCTCTGTGTGCCATTTATCTGTTCCTTTTTTTTCTTTTGGAATTTTTTTGAGTTCTTGTAAGTACTTTTGATAGAAATATCTTGTCGGTTTAAATGTCGTTTATTGTTTTCAGGTTTTCCTTGCATTTATTGTGAAGACATGCATTTTCCGTTAGTCAAATTAGATTCTCTCCAATAAGCTGGGATATTATTTCGGATAGTCATGTATTCTAAGAAGTTTGCGTTAATTTTATATTTCATATCTACCCGAAACACATCATATTCAGGTTTAACGTGTGTAACATGCATTTGAGAAGCAATAATAGTTCGATGATAATATTTCTTTAAGTCAAAAACCCATTAAAATTTAACAAGGCTCTACCAAATGATTATAACCTCTACCAAGGTGATCATTGTTCCGTTTGTTTGTTTGTCTGGTAGCAGTATTATGCAAGCAGTTTTAGGCGGTTTTTGATGAAATGTTCAGAAACTATGTAGAGTGGACCAAATGATAAACGCAGGTTTTCTCCCATTCACCAATTCTTTTTATAAATTGGTTTTCCCTGCTCCGTCCATTTAGGTTCTGCCTTTTTATTTGCTTACACACGACACTGACACGTTATGTTAAATAGTCTCGGTATAGCACTAAGTCACTTACAATGTCAAAAATGGAAAATTGTAATATGTGCCCGTGATAAATATCTCTACGGTTTAGCAATGCACCCGCCATGGAGTAAACTTACTCCCACAGACTTGGAGATGACGACTTTCCCTTTAATAATGACGATATAACTAGTGTGAGGAATTTGGGTGTGGACAGATGCCAAGTTTTACAGAAGCGGATCAAGGATTATTTGAAGGGGCGGTCAAGTTTTCTAGGAATGACAGGCCTCCGATGCTAAGCCGACCCTCGCCCGCGTGGGCAGATGTCAAGTTACATGCTTTCTTTTTAATTAAATTATTTTGACGTGTGGGGCAAGTGATCAAGCGTATTTTCACAGTGTGTCTATAGATAAACTGTAAGGTAATGATTGCAAAGTACATTATCTAGGTGGAATTGAAATAAATGGTTTAATTTCATATTAAGCTACTCTTACAACCGGTCGTGCGTGCTTCTACGAGCGGTTTGCGTGCAAAAAATTGGCCAAGTAGTAAGATACACGCACGTGGAGCGTACTGTTTTTGGTGGACGCAAACACGACGCAAAGCACGCAGCCCGAAAACTGGCCGGCCAGTTTTTCGCTACGACCTGTCTGCGACAATTAGAACGCCTGGAGCACGCTCGTAGCACGCAAGACAAAAGTACTTAGTAAGTGCGCTAGGCGTGCGTGTAACGCAGGAAAAGCATGCAGAAATTACGGGGTATTTTACCACGAAGACGTACTTACCACGCAAGATACCACGCACGATAAAAGTGCAGGCGATCCCGAGCAACCACTGCCAGCATTGCGTCACGATCTTCGGCCTCCTCTAGCATTAGCAGCTGTAGAAGTCGATGGCGCATCCTTCTTAGAAGTGCCTTTTTGGAAGCCAAAACAGTGAATGATGAAGAGACTCGGTGCTCCCTTTTATATTATTTTGATTATCCGTGCGTTCCACTTCCGTGCTTATTTCGTTTCTCTTACGTTTCTCTTACTTCGTAAGTACGGTTTCTGAAAACGTACGCTTCACTTGCAATACACGTATGATTATCTCACTCACTGTGTGCGACACGAGTACAGATCGTACGTGCTCCTTACTTCTTCCTACTTCCAAAAAAAGGCGTACAGACCACTTGCGGGCCCCACGTTTAGAGCACGACACACCTACTCATAAAGTACTTACTACTTCGTCCGCTGCGATTTAATTTTCATCCTGCGACAACGCTATGTCTGGCGAGAACTCCGAGGACGCACGATCTCTAAGCACGCACGACGGGTTGTAAGAGAGGCTTTAACTATGCAAACTGAGAGAGCAGAATTGTCTAACCTGTTGTAGGTTAATTATGAAAAATTTCTTTTTAGTTATATGCGCCATCAACCCTTGCCTTCATAATGGGAAATGCGTTCCTCAGAGAGTAGGATATAGACGTTTTCAGTGTCTCTGTCCCTATGGATATTCCGGACACAGATGCCAGATAGGTAAGCTTCTCCCGTTAAAGACGAGATACTAGATTAAAGAATGTTGATAACAACAAATAGTTCTAGGTCGTAATGTGGGAAGATGGAAAAATTCAACTGACAAAAGTGACAACACGATCAGATGAATTAGATAATATGCTTCACTGAGAAGCATTCATTCATTACCAATGCTCCTTCCAAAAAGGAAACTGGAAGCAGAATTTCCCTTTTACAAGTAACATATTTCAAATTATAAAATGGATAACTGTTCGTATAAGATACCTACTGCACAAGAAATACACGATTCAGATGCCAGATAGTTAGCCTTTGTCT